GAAAAATATTCAATTTTATGTTTAAAACTTTTTCTGAATTTAAGAATTTTTCCTTTGATTCCCAGAAGCGGAATACGAGATTAAAATTAATTCATAAGTTTACAGCTACTGATCCATGCAGCTAAACCACACACATCCTACTGTAAGCACAGGGTACAGAGTGTCCATTTGATCATGCCCTTGCCAGCACTGAATTTTTTTTTTAATTATGTTGCTAATTAGGTAAGAAAAAAAAGTATCTCATTGCTTTACTGCACGGTTCTTTGATTATTAGCAACTCTCTGTATTTATTTATTATGCAACAGACCACTTGAGTTGACAAATTCTTTGAGGACAGGCATTAAAAGTCGGCTACAGACTATCTTCACATTCTACCCTGTAAGTACAGAATAAGAACACTGAAATCTACAAAAGATCTACTCCTAAATGATGTACAGTGGAAAATTCAAGTATCTCAATGAGTCAGAAGAACATGACTCCTGGCTCATTTCTATTAGCTGAACTTCCCAAGGCCTCCCCTCTGTCCCTTGGGCCAAACGCTGAGACAACTAAACGGGAGAGAAACAGCCTGCACCCCACCTGGACTCCATGGGCCCCTGCTTCTCCAGCGGTCTGATCTTCTTGGGGCACACAGGCAACGTGGTCGTGTCGATGACTTTGGTTTCTCCGTTGTTGTAGGTGAATTCTAAGGTGCCGTTCCACTCTCCGTGGGCTTTACAAACAATGGTGTTGGTTGGGTTGTGCTTCACTTCTGCAGTGACCCTGAATGAATGAATGAATGAATGAATCAAATGAACAGCCTTTTCAAGATTATCAAAATGTAGAGACTGACTTCAAAAAATAGACTCATATTTAGAGATTTTTTAGGAGGTGGGGAGGTTAAGGAAGAGGGATTGTGCTTGGCCATTTTACTCAAAGACTAGCTCTTAAAATGTGATCTTATATCTTTGAATGGATAAAGTATCGGTGGAAAAACTGGTGAGAGCTGAATAAAGTCTGTAATTAGTTAACAGTAATGTAGCAATATTAATTTCTAAGTTTTGATAGCATGTAAAGGTTACGTAAGGTGTTATCATTGGGGTGGAAATCCAGAACAAAGGCTCTCAGACGCTTCAGGAACCTTCCAGGCAGCACCCCGTAGCAGGGCGTTAGTGGAATGCCGGTAAAGGTTTAACAACTGGCTCTTTGGGAGGGAAAACACCTGATCGGTAGCATTTGCCAATTTCTGTGGGGCCCTACCACAGCTGACGTCAAGCTACCAGCTTGGTACAAAGGGGTGTGGAAATGGGGAGAAGGGCACACGATCAGCTTGTCAGTCGGTGTGTCTGGTTCCAAAACGGCCGTGGAGGGTGTCCACTTTCCCAGGCGACACTCCGACATCCTTACGTGAACATGATTCAGAAAGAATACTTTCCAAGAAAAAGGGCAACAATGGGAGCTTGTTTATAGAGTGATCTGCTGCAAACTGGAGCAATCAAATCCATTCTGTGCTCCTGCAAACAGCAGACCTCGCCTTCAATTTCTTAGGGTTGAGCTTCCCCAGTCTCTAAAGTAAAGAAATGGTCCTGATCTCATAGCTTTGGGATTCAGGACATTTAATGGGGCCAACTTAACATGAAGTGGGGAACTCTCGAGCAGCGTCCAAGTTCACAGGTCAAACTGCTTCAGAACAAGAAACGGACTGCAGCCTCAGAAAGGAGAGTTTATTGTAACAAACGGAAGTGCCTCTTATTCTCTAGTGTGTGTTTTGCCAATAATACATTGCCAAAGGATTTCACTGTGAATTTATATGGGAGAGGGTTCAAAAGAACTGCCACATCAGGAGAGAGGGGGAGAAGCAGCTCTTTAGAAAAAGATGTTAACAACTTTATCTTGATTTTCAACTAATCCCACGGCTGGAACCCAATTTTTGATGGTAAAAAAGAAACTCAGGACATCGTGATAAGACAAGGTGGAGCCTCCCTGGCCGCTCCCTACCTGTGGACTTTCCCTCCGTAGAAAGGCTTCGTGTGGAATATAACTGTTGCCGAGTATCCAGTCTTGGCACAGCTGATGCTCACTTTTCCTCCAAGCTCCACCCAGGGGATGGTGAGAATCGAGCGAGCGTAGGCACTAGGCAGGGTGAACACGTACTCTTCCCCATGTTCCAGGAGCCTCAGCACACCTCCGGGGGCAGAGGAGAGAAGAGTTAGGCACGTAGACACCGGAAGGGGGCGGTTGGGGGTCGAAAGACAAAGATGAGAAACCAAACAGCCTCCTGCAAAGGGCATCAAGTCAACCCCCTGTGCAAAGGCCGGCCGCTCACTCTCCATGTTATTTATTTACTGTGTACCCTGCAATGTTCCAGTCGCTGAGAACACAACGGCAAACAAGACTGTCTGCCCTCAGGGAGACAGAAAGGTGGACATTAATTAATCACCCAGCAAACACAAAACTGTAACTGCAATGAAGGCCCGAGGGAGACATGCCACCAGTGCCATGGAGACCTCCAACCAGGCATTGACCTGGAAGGGAGGTTTCTCTGAGGAGGGGACATTTGAGGTGGATAAGAGCTGAGTAGGTGAACGGGGAGGAAAAAGAAGGGAAGAGCAAAGGCCATGTGGTGGGAAGGAGCCTGGTGAGCATGAAGGGGCTGAGAAAGGGGCCCACAAGCAGAAACAGAGGCAGCGTGTAGGCTGGCCAGGTCGCGGGGAGGCCAGACCTTTCAAAACTGGATGTTAAAGAGTTTTGTCTTCATCCTGAGAGCAACAGAGACAACTTCAATGGATCTCATGAAGTTCGAGAGATCAGATGGCACAGCTGCTGCCAGCAACCCAGGAGGACATCTGCCATGTTCTGGAGCTCAACACTCACAGTCCACCCATCCCTGGATCAGGGGTTCTCCATCCTAGGACCCAAGCATTAGGCTTGGAGAGATCTAATCCTCTTCAAACAATGCAAAATTATGTGAGTTTCTCTATTTTTCTAGGGAAAAGAGCCAGTTTTCATCGAAGTCTCAAAAGCTGAAATGACAACCCCCCAAACACAAAAATCTCCAGAGCCGCTGTCTAGTCTGTGAGTTGCACTCAGGTGCCCAGCAAAGGCTGAAATGCAGCCCTTGCTTTGGCTTGTGTGCTTGGGCACCACAGGGCGGCCTTTGTGTTGACAGGCAGCGTTTCGCTTTCCACAGAGAGGCCCATACAGGCTGGCAGAGGCCCTGAAAACCGGCACTCTGGGCTAAGTTTCATCTATATAAGGCACCTTCTCAGCATCCGATTCCAGCACTGGGGCTTAGCTCCCCATACAAAGCTCTAATGCAGCTCATTCTGAGCCTGGTGATTATCAGTGGCACTGTGAGCCTCAGGAAGGAGAGGTCCATCCTTTGAGTAGACATATGCGACCAGAAGTGGCTAGCAGTGTCCCCTCCTTGGGCTTCCAGTTCCTCCACTGGACAGAGTGAGGAATGGGGTCAACGGTGCCCACCTGTGGCACTTTCTGGCTGCCAGGCCTTCATGGGGGCTTCATAAGCATTATTTCCTTTAAGCTTCACAACTACTCTATGTGGCAATAATTATCATCATTTTTAAATAAAGATGAGGAAACTAACTCAAGTAATTTGGCTGGTTAGTATTTCTCTTAGGCTAGACAAACAACTAATTCAGAACTAGAATTTGCCTAGTAGAGAGAGGTTCTGTGTGTGTGTGTGTGTGTGTGTGTGTGTGTCTTTTAGTACTGATGAGCTTGCCAGGAGATCTGAGGAGAGATGAGACTACATGTTGTCATGAATGCTGATTTCTAGAGTCAATATGAATATGCATTCAACTATAATTCAATTTACCCTTGAAAATTCCTGCACCCACCCACATACTACAGTCTGTCTAGGACCAGCAATCTCAGTTAAGTCCACGAAAGTCAGTTCTCCCAACTCACAGAAACAGATGACTGGCCTGAAAACTTCACACGACATGCTCATGTGTTTAGGGGTCTTGGTCATTTCCAGTGTGGAAGGAAGTTACACAGATGGGCACATGCAGAAGCTGAGACTACCAAGGACAAACAGATGTGTGGGTCATCGCAATCATGTGGGCAGGATGGGGAGGGCAGGTATCACAGCAGCACTTAAGTCTTTCTCTCTCTGACCAAGAATGTAATTGAATATATGTAACATAAACACACAAATAGCATGACTCCACTACCCTGAATATAATAAACATCAGAGTAGACTGACTGCTTGCCACTTCTCCAACTTACCATAGCTCTTATAATTGAATTAACCCATCTTCCTAAAAGCAAAGCCCCAGGCCACCTAACACTCTCACTCTGACACTCACGCCACCCCTGCCCCATGTCTCCGAGAACAGAACTGCCCCCGATGACCAATGAGGACCTGTCCTACCCGTGCCCATAAGAGAGCACCACTGTGTCTGCGAGGAGAATTGGACTGTGGTGTGTCTCACTCTTTATAGTTTCTGATTAGGACCCTTGGAGAATGGCCAGGTCTGGTATATTTTTTGTTTCCTGTGTATCTGACATCCCTGAAGTAGGTTGCTTGAAAAGACAGCCCAAAGTAGATGAAAAATTATTGTAGCTTTAACGCCGATCACAGAGATGAGACCAACAGTCAAGAAGAACCAGAAGTGAAAGTTGAAAAGCGAGAGGTCGCCTCGGATGTCTCTCCCTGCCCCAGTTCTACTCACAAGCCGCCTGGTTCCTTGAATGCCAGCCACATTCTCAGTCTCATGTGGCAGATGGCAGAGGCCCCCGGCCCCTGCGGAGGAGGATGCCAGCCACCTGGCCTTCAAGAGAAGAAGGCGCCCCCGCCTCTCTTTGCCCTCCGTGCTGATGGACTACTTGGTAGGAAAATCCTTCCAGGTAGCCAATGTGTCTCCCCAATAGCACAACCTCGCCCCTGATGTCTGGGGTGTCCATGTCTTGTGGTCAGCCCTTCTGGTTCTTAACTGGGAGTACTGGGGACTCCCACCCATTCACAGCCTCTCTCTTCAGAACAGGACCATACACACAGCCACGAGCTCCACACGCTGAGTAGGGCTACACAACTGCTATTTTCTTTACAGCATATTTTTTAAAGGTCTGGATGAGATCTTAGAAGATCATTCCAAGTCCTCTGTCACCGGTGATTTTAACCTCTCTCTGCCTCAGTTTCCTCATCTATGACCCAGGATAATGGTACCTGTGCTGCATAAGGCTGAGGTAAGAATGGGAAGGTGATTCGAAAACTCAGCTCCAAGCACGAAGCCTGATGTCCCGCCAGAATCCCGAAGGTTTTCTATCCTAACCACTCCTTACTCCTAAAGCTGCTCTCTGGATGGGTGAATTCCTAACAGTGAATTTCCATTTGGGGATAAAGAGGAAATCAGTCTGGTGGTGCGTTACACACAAGGGGGATGGAGACATAGGTGGGAGGCATCGTCCTGCCCTTCGTCTTTAGAGAAACCTCTTCCAAACCGAGGCGAAACTGCCCTCAAGGCTCCAGAAGTCAGCGAACCCGGGGCTAAGCTGATCTGAAGGTGCTGGCGAGATCGCACCCCTTCAGCTCTTTACGGAAACCCACAAAAGTGCGCTCACACATTAAATCACCTATAATTATGCCTTTTCAACTTTTTTTTTTTCAAAGTTGCATTAAAAAAATACCTGCTCCTAATAGGAATAGAAGACTGTACTAAAACTAGACCTACAGATGGGATCACAAAGGAAAGCTTCTTTTTTTTTTTTTTTCATTAGCCTAAAAGCTGAGAGAAGTTGAAAAATGCCAAATAATTAATCCTTCCATGTTGAGGTTAGTCTTTGGGCTGGGAGAGACTCATTTTAAATCCCACAACCTGATTTATCGATAAACATAAAGCCAAGCATTAAGATTTTCAATTTGATAAATTTAGAATAATTTCATACCCGATCTCAACCCGAGGAACCAAAATATTCTGAAGGCACATTTACTCTGAAGTAACTCGGGGAATTGGTCTGCAGGCACTGACAGCATCCACATTCCTCAGCACCGAGCAATCATGTAACTGCTCTTGCTAGAACTAATTGCCTTTCCCCGCAGACTCAATTAAGAGGCTGTGCCATTTACTGGGCACTAGTTCTGGTGTTTTAGGGGGAGGTAGGTGGCAAGAACAACTGAATGGGCCTCAGCTCCCCAGAAGTGTGGGGGTGATGAGTTAGAGGAGCCTTTGCTTCCTCATGGACATAGCTGATGGGGGAGACTGAACACTGTCTCAATTAGGGGCTTTCAGTGTCAGAGCTGAGGAACTGGGGGGTAGGGGCAGGGAGCGAAGACAGGCAGTCTCTGAACTGCAAACTAAGTGATTTCAAGGCATAAGCAAGCACTTCATAATGGCATTTTATTATAGGCAAATATGCCACAGCCTAAGGCAATAATTTAAAGATAAGCTCATGTATTTATGTACAAAATTTCAAGGGGATCCATCTAAAATCTAAATTTTAAAATGAGAGGCTGGGAAAAAAAAAAAAAAACATTACATTGCCTAAGGCAATAATTTAAAGATAAGCTCATGTATTTATGTACAAAATTTCAAGGGGATCCATCTAAAATCTAAATTTTAAAATGAGAGGCTGGAAAAAAAAAAAAAAACATTACTTCAAACACAATCGACAAATTCATGGAATGTGCTAGATCCACGCAGGGAGTAAGGAAGGAACAGAAAAACGTCCTGCCTCCCACACCTGGCCGTCCAAAGGAGCTCTGAACGCAGAGACCAAAATCTTTTGAAGTGTGGGGATTCTTACAAGTATTTTGTGTGGAAAAATAAGATCGATGTGTGTTATAGAGTGTACATTTAATTAATAAGAAAGAAACGGGGAGCAGCGTCTGAAAAGACTCAGGCAAACCTAAGGCCTCCCCAGAATGAGCCAGAGGCCCCTCCCAGGTGTGCCCACAGCAGAAACATGCTGGCTGGCCGGCCAGGAAGGGCTACATCCAGGCAGGGGCCTTCCAGAGTCTCTCTCCTCAATTTTCTTCCTGGTGTCAACACTTCTACTCTGAGGAGTTCTAAGGAATTTTCAAGCAAGTAGAAAAAGTGCGAGCAGCAAATTCTAATTCTGCTTCAGGAATGGCTGCAGCTAAGGCCCTGGGGAGAGTGAGTTGGATGGTCTCCCACCCACTGCATTAAGAGCTTTGTCTGCATCCCCCAGCGAGCCCAGAGTTGTACAGGGAATAAAAGGCCCCGGGCCCTACTCACGGTGTGTCGGGAACAGGGGAGCTAAGACCCTGGGACATCAGAGGCCTATGCTATGCAGACACAGACACTCAACAACTGCCAATAACTGAAAATGTCAGCTCACCTCAGGGGACCCCACCACTCTCAAGTGAAGTTCCCGAAGAGATGGACGGAGGCCATGGATTCTGCTGGCCTCGTGGATGGAAGGTGTGGCTTAAGTGGAAGGCTAACAGCGTGGATGAGGGCACAGAGAATCGAGGGGAGGGATGAGCAAATGGGCTGGGAGGGGAGAGCTAGCATTAAAACATAGTCACACTGGCAATATCCTACACACACGCCTCCTCACCAGAGCCCACCCCTGCCGGTGGAAGGCTGCGGGCAGGGCTCGGGGAATTAGTATTGTTTGGTGAGAGAAGCAAGCATCACAGAGGCTAGAAAGAGACTTGAGGTTCTCTGACTGAGAAATTCCCTGAATCACGAGAAACAGATTTACAAATTTTTACCTTTCTCGAAAATTTCCAGATATTCGTCTAATGTCAAGAATCCCTGCTTAGGGGCGGATGAATGTTGTCAGGTGTGACACATGTGCCCTTGGGCAAGCTGCTTCCCTCCTGCTACTCTTCTGTAAAGTGAGGGGCAGCTGGACTCATCAGAGGTCTGCTAAGCGTCTTGAAGCAACTAAAACCCTCTGGAAATGAAGTCTACAGGGAAGTCCGACAGGTAAACATAAACGGTAAGGGCAGAGATGCTCCAGCTGGGAGGCAGCAGAAGCCCCATTGCCCACCCCCTCGCCATCTCATGGCCTGAGCCCCGGGATTCTCCACGGCACCACGGGAAGTCCTGGGGGGCTTGTGAGATAGATAAACCCTCTTTCAGCTACAACAGTCCATGGTCCTGGTGTCCTTGGTGACAACTCCTCCTTAAGAAGAAAAACCACTCTGACACTACTGTCCCTTTTAGAATAGCAGTCAAAGCTAGACGAACTAATCTTTTAGTATTGAGATTTTCCTGATTGGAAAATGACTGCAATGTCATGTCACACTCCCACAAAAGAGCATGTAGGGAGAAAATGATATTCGTTATTGGTGTGGTTTAAGAGGAACGTGTTCATCCTTCTTTAGACACATACGACCCACCCCCATCTGAATCATGGAACTCGGTGGCCCAGGGTCATCCTGGTGACAGATGAGCCCTGGCCACCTTCACAAATTGATGAATTGTACTTTGGTGAATTTATTGACCCTGAGAGAAAGTTTCGATCAGTGTAGCGTCCGCTGCCTGAACACTGAGTCTGTGTGCATGGAAGACCCCGTGAAGGCTCGACACTGATGCTGGGCTCCTCTGTACGTTTCTGGAGTTGCTGTCTTATCTACACATGGAGGATAAGCATCTCCGAGGGTGAACCTACAGCTCAGAGACAGAACAGAGAAGTGGAAGAAGAGTAGGTTTTTCCCTAAACAGTACAACGGTACCTAAATGACAAATAAGAAAGAGTCGTCTTTACTTAAGTGTCTCCAATTCCCGTCCTCCCATTCTCTCTCGGACCTACCATGGCCCCCCCATTCACGGTCTCACTTTCCGCGGTTTTGGTTACCCACGGTCAACTGTGGTCTGAAAATATTTAATAAAAAATTTCAGAAATAAACAATTCACGAGTTTTAAATTATAGGCCGTTCTGAGCAGCATGATGAAGGCTCACACTGTCCTGCTCAGTCCCACCCAGGACATGATACATCCCTTTGTCCAGTGTATCCACGCTGTATCCCCTACCCACTCATTCGCCATTTAGCAGCCATCTCAGTTATCAGGTTAACCCAAAGCATGAGAGCAGTTTAACCTTGTCGTAGGTATATATGTATTAGGAAAAAATAAAACAAAACAGTATATATAGGGTTTGGTACTATCAGCGGTTTCGGGTATCCACCAGGGGTCTTGGAATATGCCCCTCATGTATTTTGATCAGATTTTCATGAGCACCATTCCACTGACAGCTCTTGTCAAAGTCACTAATGACCTTCACAGTCCAAAACCCAATGGTCATTTCTCAGTTCTCCTCTACCAAGAGCCGATCAGCGTCATTTGACTCAGTTGATCTCTCCCCTCTCCTCCCTGAAATCTTTTCCTCACTTAGCTTGCGGGAAACCCATTCTCCCATCCCATCTACTCTTCCGGCCCCTCCCCCTCAGTCTCCTGACTGGTGCTCCTCCTCCTTTGGACCCCTTAATGCTGGAGGGCTGTGGGGATCCGTGCTCACCCAGCAACTTCGTCAGTCTCCAGGCCTTAAATTACAAGTTTTTACCTCAGCCGGGACCTCCCCTCAGAACTCCAGCCCGTATATATAACTGTCTACTCAAGCACTGTGCTTGAATGTCTACTCCATAACACAACCTATCTGAGCCCCTATACTCACGCCCTAAACCAGTTCTCCCTCCCTCAGCCTTTTGTCTTCCCTATCTCAGTTTATGGCTATTCCATCCTTCAAGCAGCTCAGCTCAAAAGCCCTGGCATCACCTTTCTCTCATACCCCACAACCAACACACAGGGAGATCCTCTTGGCTCCCTCTACCTCAGACTACATTCAGACTCTTACCACGTTTTACCACTTCCACCATTTCCACGCTTGTCTACGTGACCATCATCTCTTGCCTGGATTATCATCATGATCTCCTGACTGGTCTCCTTGCCTCCAGCTTTATCCCTCTTAAGGTCTATTTTCAGTAAGAAACTGGAACAATCTTCCTAAATGATAAGTCAGATCATGATATTCTTCTTCTCAAAACCCTCAATGGCTTCACAGATCATTTAGTATAAAAGCCAACACCCCTAGCAATGGCCCCCGAGGCCTTATGTGATCTGGCCACAGTCACCTCTCCAACTCCATCTTTACCAATCCCTGCCTCGTTCACCCTGTTCCAGCCACATGAGCATCCTGTCTTCCATCAACATGCCAGGGCCTGCGCCTTGTTCTTTCTGCGGTGCACATGCTACCCCTGGTCACCAAAAGAGGCTTGTCTTTTACCACCCACTCTGGGTCTGTGCTCCAATGTCACCTTTTCAGTGAGTCCTCCCCGGCTGCTATCCCATCCCATCCTAATGCCCCACTGCCCTCTCCCCACTACTCCCGGGGTTCTTCCCTGCTTTTCCTTTCCTCCATTGCACTTACCTTCCAACACAACAAACATAATTCTACTTCCCTCGTAGAATAGAAGCTTCACGAGGACAGTGATTTTTTTGATCTGTTTTGTTCATACAAGTATCCATAGCTCTTAAGACAATGTCTGGCATCTAGTCGGGGCTCAATAAAAATGTGCTAAGTGAACGAGAGGTGTTCTTAACTCCTGGGGTTTTGGAAGGGCTTCCAAGGAGCCATGCACTTCCTGAAACGGAAAGCCACACTTTGCGTGGGACTTTTCTTCTGAGAACTGAATCTATAACCTTAGAGTCTCAAAGGGATTTCTGACTCAAAAGAAGTTAAAAGACTAATACCGAAGCTTGAATTTAAGGATTATTATAGGTTTCTTCAAATAATAAATCAACTTCATTCACAGCTATTGGCTAAAATAGAAGCATGTAATCCATAAGTGGTGTGATTACACTGTGTTCTTGCTTCAGAATCCATAGCACTAAGTCTAGAGATTTGCCTTGGGAATTTTAAGAGCAGACTTTATATAGGCAGCATTATTATCCTCATTGTTTGTGAGCCAGAAAACCAGTGAGAATGAATAAAAATGTGTTACACGGATTTGGAGCCAACTCTAATATTCATGCAAAGCTGAAAATAATGCAGGTGTAAAGGAGCTCACACACATGCACAGCATGTGAAGATCCAGGTGGGCAGCAGGTTAGGCAAATAGCTGCATCCCATCTGGTCCATCACCTTGGCGCCACAGGGAAATCACCAAGACCTGGCCTTAAAATAACAAAACCCATCCCACCTTCCTACCCACCCGCCCACCCCCGATTCCAAAACAAAACAAAAACAAAGAACTCCACACACAAAATCATCAGTCACCTATCAGGTTCAGAAACATCACTGTGTAAGCGTCAAACTCCATCAAACATATATGGCTTACCTTCTCCTATCATAGAGACCCCCACGGACATGCCCATGAACTTGCTTTTGGTCCATACGTGAGTGTTGACGCACAGTCTCTTCTCCTTGCACTCACAGTAGAAGCAGGAGATAGGTGGGTGATGGGACACTTGCTCAGCCACAAACCTTAGTTTGTAGCTTTCTGAAGGGTGATCGTGATTATGGCTGTGAGGAGAGTGGGGAGCAGTCCTCTTTGGCTTGACACTGTCCTTGGGAACTTCCCAGGAGCAGTGAAACGTCTCGCCAATGATGGGGTTGTAGGGCTTCTTGGCCAAGGCCCCCTTGCGGCCCTCATGGAAAGCTGTGAGATAATACTCCACGAAGCAAATGACTCTCTCCTCTGGTGTGGCTCCCGCAGTGATGGCCAGCAGCAGGTCTGGGTGTGCCATAAAGTCTGCATACATCTCCAGCAAAGATCGCTTCTCCAGAATAAACGTGGGAAGCACCACCTGCATTTGGAAAAAGACAAAGTCAGACAGGAATCCCTGTGATTACATGAAAAAGCCGAAAAGGGAAAAATAGGAAGGCTACAACTGCCATCAAGCAAATGCACGATGGCTTATGCTGGGAACAATTTCTTTTCATTTGTACACAAATGACAAATCGGGGGAAACGATATCGAAGAGATCGGAAGTAGCTGCAGCGGTGTCGTCAGTGCCAACTCAGCTGCGTGAACAAGACTGTTCTGAGCAATTTTCTTCTCTGCTCATCTGGGCTAAAACAACAGCCCCTCTCTCTCTCCATTGCCGTCACTCCCCTAACACTCAGCCCTCTTTTGCTCCCCCATCCTTTAGAGATGTCACGGAAACAGGCTGGAAGGGCTTCTTCATATTCTTCCTAACGTCAGGCACAAGAGGGATGCTCGGTGTGTTCCCACAAACACGGATCCTGGCAATTGTTGGTGCCATGGCAAAGGGGGTCCAGGTAGACCAGAACCCACCCCCTAACAAGAGGGTCTTTTTGGAGATCTCTGTTAGAAGAGTGGCATATGAACCCCAACACGGTCAAGGCAGGGTAGGAGTGTGGAAAGGGCCCCTGGCCCAGGTCTCCAGAATGCCAGGCCAGCTAGTAGGCAAATGTCCACAGAACTGCCACAGGAAAGCGAGACCATTTGTGGAGGCTGCTCCACAAGACTGGGCCAGAATAAATGAACAGAAATTACAAAGAAGGAGGCCGGCACTTAATAGAGAATCTTCTGGTAAATGGACTGGCAGAGGGGCCACCCCTAGGAAAGACTCATTGATCCAAAGTGGATCCAGGTGGTCTTCCAGGTGCCATACAACAACTCCAAATAACTAACCTAGTAACTAGTTAATTTAAAGCAAATGAAAGACATTCTGAAACTGGGCTGGAAAGCAGGTAGCTCATTACTATTACTGATAAGAGAAGGAGAGACAGCCTGTTTCTCACTGCTCTAGAATGATTTCAAAATGACTTGGTTAATGGATATTAATATTCCACCCACTTAGCTGCATAACACAGCTCACTTTCACCTGGAGCATTTCACATCGAGTGAGGGGAGAGGAGGCACGCCAGTTCGAGCAAGCCGACCCAGGTCATGAAGCTGGTTTACACTCCCCACTTACACGGCCAAGTCTGCCCTTCCTTCGCACAAGTCCCTAACTCCCACGAAAGCATTTGCACGGGGACACATCACTGACTGTGAATATCACGGCTTACAGCGCCATAACCCCGCCTCCACTTCAGCCTACTAAGACCCTTCCTTTTGCGAAGAGTGTAGACACAATGGAAGACAGACATCCTGACGGAAAGAGACAGACAGGCAGATGTGAGATCAGCACAGCACAACGATGTCAGAGGAAAGCAGAGGAAGCCCAGCCCACTGCAGAAGTGAGGTTGGGAACTTTAAGGCTTTTCTGTCTCTCATTTAAAAGCTGTGGCAGAGGAAAATGTACCCAAGTTAAGTAAAAAAAGTAAAAAGTACCCAAGGCTTTTCTGTCTCTCATTTAAAAGTTGTGGCAGAGGAAAATGTACCCAAGTTAAGTAAAAAAGCAGCCGAATGTAAAATTGAACAGGTGACACAATTCAAATATCATCCAAACTCCCCCAATATTAACATATCTCTCTTGGTGATAGAATTGAGTGATTTTTACATTTTTAAAAGTATTTTTCTGCTTTGCTTTTATAGTATTAGAAGAAGAAACTATTTAAAACACAATTATGCAAATTAATGGAGATTCCCTAATTTTCTTTCTCCTATGACTCGACAAAATTGAGAATTTGGCTGCCCAAGGATCTGAGCTGATTAGGAAAAGCACATCCTGGCTCAGAATGGCCTTCAGATGCCACTGTTACTACTTCCTACATCTTCCTGTGGGACAGGTCATCATTCAGCAGCCATCGCTGGGCTCCCCAGGGTCCACTCTCCCAATGAAGCCCATAGGGGCTGGGTTGCTGTGTTCCACCCATGGATCCCCACCATGCAAGTGGCCAATGGCAGAGTAAAGAAGAGAGGTAAAATAACCCCCAAACACTCACCATCGCTTCCTCTTCCGCCCCCACAGTCACTCGAGGCCTCCCTAGAAACTCCCCTAGGGAGGCTGTGCAGGTTGGAAAGCCCCTCAGAGAGGCCAAATCAATTAAAAAGGAAAAGAGGCCACAAATGTTCTCATCGCCAGACCATCCCCAAACCACTGCACTTCCTGCCTTCTCCCTTCTCAGGGCTCAGTGGGCCCTCTGATCAGGAGGTGAGCCAGGAGAGGGAGCGGGCAGAATTACACTGAGGGCAGTCAGCCCTGACACAGAACGCCAAAGGAGGATGATCCCGTGGCCTCGATGCACATCCTTGCCCCACCCTGCGGCAATGGGACTTCTCTGTCAATCACTCTACCTCTGGACAAGAATTCTCATGTTTATACCCAAGATTGAAATTACAAGGCAAGAATCGGCTATAATATTTACTTATTATATACTTTTGAAAGGGGCAAGAATTTAAAGCATTTTCCCTTAGACCAGCATTTCTGAACTCAGAGGTTGAAGGATTAAAACAAAATAATTTTTAAAAAGAACTCTATTCAGAACCCCAAATCACTGAACATCAGAACCAAAAGGGACTTTCAAGTTGGAATTCAACGCCTGGTCTCACGGGTGAGGGGACAGAGACTGGGGAGGTGGGGAAGGAGGGTACCACGCCTAGGCACAGAGCAGGCAGGGAACCTTAAGGCTCCCCACTGCCAGCCCCAAGTTCCTCCATTACCCCTGAGGCACCGTGATGATCTGCTCCTGGCTAAAGAGAACATTTTCTTTCCCTCAGAGGCCTAGGGAGACAAGAGTTCACTGGACCTAAGAACTGGAGAGGCTGGGACACCACATCTACTGTCACTGATGAATAAATAAGTGGGGGCAGGAGGCAGCACAGGGAAAAAGGATATGACATGAGTACCACTTTCTACTCCAGTCTACTCCTTCTGCAATGATAAGGCAATCCACCTGTCCAAAAACTACCACTAACATTACAGACAGGAGGGGGACCTTTGGCAATTATGAAAGGACTCGCACGGGGCCCCTATCTGGAAAAGTATGGCTGTCGTTCCCAACTGGTCTTCCAGCTTTCTGTCATGCCCATCTTTACTTCTTTCTCAAAACCTCTATAAGGGATAAATAAAGTTCAAGTTTCACATTATCCCTCACTTTCTGCCCCCAGCCCTCACCCCCAAACCTTCAGTCCTATTACTCTTTTCTGCCCTCTCTTCTGCCTTAAATGATAATCAGCCATTCGGCTCGAGGGTAACCTCTATGAAGCTTGTTCTGACAGCTCCTGTCCCAAGACTAAACCAACAACTCCCTCCCCTTCACATCTTCACTGTATCCCACACATACCTCCATCACAGCAGCCACAGTACTATTTTGCTCTTATTAAAGCTATAAAGAGCATTATTGAAATGATCTGGGAAACTTTTACTATGGGCTATATACGAAACAGTATTGCATCAATGTTACATTTCCCAAGTATCATGAATGTGCCGTGGGGCAGAACATCCTTGTTGTTAGGTGATCCTCACTGACGGATGTAGGGGAGAACTGTCACGCCTGCAACATACTCTGAAGTGGTTCATCAAAAAAAAAATACACATATATATGCATGTGTATATTTGGGGTTTCAGAGGGAGAGAAGGAAAGAGAGAGAAATAAAGGCAGAGGAGAAGGAGAGACTGGGAAAGAGGAAAGAAGAAATGCGAAGTGGCACAATTGGCCAATAACAGTGATATATGGAAGTTCACTGCACTCTTCTTTGCAATTCTGCTAGAGATTAGAAAGTGCAGAATAAAAAGCTGAAGGAAAAAGAAAAAAGGCTCTACCAGAGATGCAGTACCTGAGAACTTCTCAATTTGCAAAGACAACCCTCCTGAAATTTGACTCAAAGAATATGGTCTCACAGCCAATGCCAAGTCCAACCCACTAGATATGTATTCTGCGATTGACAATGATTCTGTGGGTTTGTCGGAGCTGGGAAAAGCAGACTACCTGGAAGAGATGGGTTAGGAGTGGAATGACTATTTCTCCTTTCATCTTGTTGATATGTTTGGATGGTGCTTTGTGCAGAACACACCAGATCGATGCCTTTGAAAACCAGCCCCCTGAACACTTGGGGCAAGATATCACATTATTCATAAAGCGGACCTCTATATCTCATACAATCTCCCTTTTTATATTTTTATTTTTTTTTTGGCGTCTTTGCAAATAAGTCACTTAATCATCAGTTCCTTGGGTGGTGGACACTGGAGATACAGAGCCAAGAAGCTGAGTACTAATCGGGCTGTCTGCCTCCAACGGAGAAGTGAGTGATGGCCCAGCTGTGCAGACTGATGGCAACCAAATGGCTAGAGTCACTGCCGCAGATTTATGGAGGCATCGACAAGGGCTGTCTTTTTCCCATTAACATAATTAAGACAATGAACTACTTTGGGGAAAGGGAAAAAAAAAAGAGAGAAGATCTGCACTCCAGACTCAGAGAACAATTAATTACATTTAAAGCTACATCAATCTACAAGTAAATAACTCATCTTCAGGTTGGGCTCCTAGAACTTTGAAATAAACGATTGCCCAGGCCCCCAGAAAAGGGATAGATAGTCCCTTCTCCCCAAGAAAGAACACAGTAGGCCTCTTCAAAGGAGGGCCCAGAGCAAGTGCAATATTCTCCAAAGAAATATCAGATAATTTAATAACCTGGAGAACCATCTACATAATCCCCTATCAGACTAACAAACCCACTAAGTGCAAAAAAGCAAGCCAAGAGAGGCCAAGATCGCCCACCGAGACTGATCTATGTAATCCTTTAAGGCAGCAGTCTCTAGCCTTTTGGCAACAGGGACTGGTGCTCCTGTGAAAATCTAATGCCTGGTGATCTGAGGCGGAGCTGAGGCAGTGATGCTAGCGCTGGGAAATGGCCCCAAATACAGATGAAGCTTCGCTCTCCGGCTCTGCGCCC